CTCAAGGGACAGGACCAGTGACTTCGTTCATGGGAGGCAAGTGGATGACTTGGGACAGGATTGGTGACATTCACAGGGCAAGGAGAGGCCTGGATATCTGGGGAGTGACCCAAAACCATCAACGTCATATGCACAATAAACTGATGTTCAATATGAGCTTTGTAGGTGAATCTTTGATACAATTCTCAATAAAGTAAAGGCCCTCCCGTTGATCATCGATTTGCTCAATAATTCTCAGCACAGCAAATATCTGCTTGGACGCTAAAAATGATATGAATTCTCCCCCATGAAATATGGGCAGAAGAAGAAAATTAGCAAATCTGAGGTGAGAATCTCCAGATGGAGCACAGTTGTGCGGGAAAGAAATCAGGGTGTGAAGACCTGGAGACCCAAGGGAGCTATTTGTTACAGCAGCTAACATTTGCTCACTAATACAATCTGGCACTGCAGTATAATGTAAAACCAAGTCAGAGCCTATTCTCGGGGATGGAGCCACACCCCTGTCTCCTGGCCTCAGTCTGCCACCAGGACAGTGTGTGTGTGTGTGGGGGGGGGGAGGTGACCCACCTCCTCCTTTGAGCTGCTCCTTCTTGTGAACTAGAGACACCCATCATCAGAGAGTGACGTGCACAACACTAGGATGGTTCTCAGACCCGGTTCTCAGAACCTGACTCAGTGCTCCAAGCTTAGGCTCTTGATTCAGAAAAGTGTAAACTTACGCTGTTCTGTAGGGCTAGAGCAATAGTACAGTGGGGAGGGCATTTGCCTTATACGCGGCTGACCCAGGTTCAATTCCCGGCATCCTATATGGTTCCTCGAGCACCATCAGGCGTGATTCCTGAGTGCAGAGCCAGGAGTAACAGCTGAGTACAAATGGGTGTGGTCCCCCAAACCAAACACACCAAAAGACTAAAATGAGCCTCTAAGGCTTGCTTGCAGGCTCCCATAGAGCAGGTCAACGTAAAAATTCATGTCTCTGGCTAAAAGTAAGGATAATTATAAACCTTTACCCGCATGTGCTTCCATGTTGGTGGCTGGAAGTCACTAAAGCAGACTGAAAGTTGCCTTTGATTCACTGTACCACATGTCCCCTGCCCTGGGCTAAGCAGGTCCTCATACTCAGGATCTTGTGGCTGCTTGAGGTCCTTCAGTCTGGCTTAAGGGTGCAGGGGCTAGTGGAGGGGGTGAAAATGTGCCTATTACTGACCTCTCTATTGACTTCTCTATATGGGGGCATATTATGCTGGTCTGAGCACGACTGTGTCCCTGGTGAGGAGTTCCTCCCCTTCCCCCTTCCCCCCTCCCCCCTCCCCCTCAGTTCTTAGGCATCCTTCCCTCATTCTTCCTGCAGTGGTTCTGCTGCTTTTCTACTCTTCTCCAGATATTGCCATTAAATAAATGCATCCATGAGGTGAAGCCCTGCAAACAATCGTCCCATCCTCCTGGGATTCCTTTCCAGGAGCTAAGGTAGACAGACCCCCCCCCCCCCCCGCCCCAGGCTTCACCTGCCATGGCTGAGGGCACAGGTGAGCTGCACCATCACCTGTTTCATTTGTACATCTCCTGCAGGTCTTGGCACAGAGGTCTCCTCTTCCAGGAAGTCCCCCTGATTCCCTGGAGCTCCTCCCCCTAGATCCCTGAACCACCCTGTCTGTGCTTTGTCCTCAATGTCCTTCACCTCTGCTTCCCTAGTCACAGCCTAACCTGACCTGTGCTTCTGTCTAGACAGTCCCCATCCTCCAGCCTGAGCCTCGCCCCCCCATCCCTGACCACTCCAGAGTTGTGTCCTGGTCCACAGGATCTCGCCTGATGTGGTCTTAGTTTCTGCTTCTGCTTCAGTGTCAACCCACCCACCACCATGTCCAGCACCCAGCCCAGAAATTAATACCTCATGTCTTTTTGCTGCTCCATGTTTCTGCTTCGGAAGCCCAACTGTGTCTCCAAACACACAGAGACATGCAGATGGTTGCTTTGGCCCATAAATGGGGTCTCTGTCCCCTGGATCTGCAGCATTTGGCAGGGCTGTTGGGAGCCTCTAGTTTCACCCAATGATTATCATCCCCAGACCAGCAACATGAATACCATGACCATGAACTATGGTCATAGTCAACGTGACTAGACCATCACATTTTGGGCCCCTGCTCCAGCATATTGAGTTGGAAAGTCTGAGTTAGGGATGCGGACATCTGCGGTGAACAGAGCCTGCAGGTGTTGCCAATGTGACTGGGGGACCACTGGTCTAACTCGTGCAGTGCTTCTCTCTGCTTCTCTGCCTCAGACCTCAAATGCTCTCCGTACCAGCCCTTCACCAAAAAAATAATGTCACCCCAAGGCCGAAGAACTAGTAGGCACATATCTCAGCTTCTTTGAATCTTGAGGAAGAAAGATGGCATTTCTGTTTTGGTGCTCTCCCCCTTCCACCATGACATGGTTTTTAGGGCTTATTCCTGGCTCTGTGCTCAGGGATTACTCCTGGCAGGGCTTGGAGACTCAAACCATGGCTTGCTCTTTGGCTCTTCTGCAAGGCAAATGCCCGACCTACTGTACTATCTCTCTGGTCTCGTGGTGACAACTGTTAATGTTTACAGAGTCCCTTAATATTCCCCAGAACTGAGCTCAAGAGGCCCAGAATGGAACTCCCCACCCGATCCTCTGTTACCTTTCTTCTTTCACTGCCTTCTCCTCACCCCTTTTGGGCCTCTATCCTGGGACCACTGCCCCCAAATTGGCCAGATGCACTAAATTCTCATCTCAGTCCACTGGATTGTAGCCACATATTTTCCTCTGTCTTCCAACCCCACTACTTCTATAGTATCTCTGAAACTTCTAATTCCTTTTTCTGAGTGTCTGGGCATCCGCTCTGCTGGGCCAGGAGCACTGATGAACTTTGCTAATGATCTGGAAAGGCGGCCCTAGAGCTGAGTTAATTTTAGCTGCAATTTTCAATACCCATAAATGGAAGGAGCCAAAAGGCTGTTCTGAAACCTTCAGCAGAGCGGAGATGCCAGGGAGGGGGTGCAGCCATGCCTCACCTCTGCCCAACGGTGTTGCTTCACTCCTCTACTCAGATGGGAGCATGGGGGTGAGGGGGATCTCCGTATCCATACATGTGGTCATGGGTCCACTCCCCACCCCAAGGGAGAGCCACGACCATAGGTCCCAACTGTGTCTCCTTCAGACCCGGACTCCCCAAAGATCTTATCCCCCAACTTGCTAGAACCAGTTTCCTACGCCACACTTGTAGACCACTGCCTACATCCCTCTTCCTGTGACACCATCTACCCGGAGACACGTGGGGCCGCGCCCCCCACCCCACCCCCCATCTCACAATTTTCAGGACAGGTGGCCTAGGGGTTGGTACTTGGGCAGAGTCCTCTGGGCTGCGGTACCTTGAGTCAGCTTCCTTCCCTGAGTCAGCCCAGCCAGCCCCGGTCTCTGTCCCATTTCCCAGCTTCTCCTTCCTCCGCGGGAGGGCCCCTGGGTGCTTCTCACTGCAGGGGACTCGGGGATGGGCAGCGCATTTTCCCCTTCCCACGCCAGGGAGAGGGAAAGCTCAGTCTCCCGCCTTCCAGTCTGCAAAAGCAGGGTGCAGGGGTGTCTCTCTGTGGAAATGACATCTCAGAAGTGGGGCTGGGACCAGACAGGCTCGGGAGGGGACAGACACGCTCGGGATGCGGCACCCAAGGGTGTGAATGCGAGCAGGGCACACACATGCCCACAGCCCTTCTGCCTTTGTTTCTCGCTCAAGCGCTCATTGTTTCTGGGTCTTCCCACCATTCCTGGAATATGTAGGTGGTTCTATCTGCCTCTCACTCCCCTCCCCTCTGCCCCGCTAAAGTCGGCGGAGATTCTTGTCTCTGTCTCCGGGAGTCTCTCGGTCGGCCAGGGATCCTGGCTCCCAAGGAAGAGCAGGGCGACCCCGTGGGCGGTGGAGGTGGGGCCGGGGACGCGCCTGGACGCCGGGGGCCGCCTGCACCTTTAAAAGCGGGCGCGCGCGGGGCCTGCGCCTTTAAGCGCGGGCGCGCGCGCGGCCCTGGGTTCCCGGCGAGGAGGCCGCGGGAGCGCCCGGACCCGGCCCGCCTGCCCGGCCCCCGCCCGGCCCCCGCCCCGGCCCCGGCGGGGGAGGGGTCTCTGAGCGGCCCCTCCCCCCAGCACCCCCGCCCACGCTGCGGCGCCCCCGGCCCGCGTGTCCCGCTCCGCCGCCCAGCCGGCGCCCAGGCCTCGCCCCACCCCGGCCCCCGGGGCTGCCTGGCCCCCCCGCCCCCCCACCCACCGCAGCCGACCCCCTCCCGCCTGGCCAGCCCCTCCGCAGCCCGGGAAGCCAGGCGGGACTCTGCAGAGCCGGGGACCCGCACCCCCAACGTCGAGGGTCTACACCCCGAAATTGGAGCCAGAGATTCGGAAACTCGAGCTTGGGACCCCGATCTGGGGCTGGGACCCCTAGACCCGCGGCCAGAACATCGGTCTCCAGGGCTGGAACCTCGGGCTTTGGCACCCCTGGACTTGGAATATGGACCCCAAGATGTGAAGCCTGAACCTCTAGATTTGGCAGCTGGACCGCCCCAGCTCTGGAGCTGAACTCTGAATTCTGTGTCTGGGACCTTGAAATCTGGGACTGGATTCCCGGAGCATCTTTCTACACCCCACCCTGCGCTGACTGCACCTGGAGGCATAGGCCTTGGACCCCAGCAGCTGGACCGTGGTGTTCCAGGGGGCTTAGACCTGAGTCTGGGCCTGAAGTCCTTGCTGCACACCTGAATGGTGAAGGTGGGGACCAGGAACCACCAAATCTCGACTCAGCACCCCAGGACTTGGGCCCAGCCCTCGGGCCTTAGATCTCAGGACTGGACTGGGCACATAGACCCTACACTCACCATTGGTGGGTGACCAGGACTGGCCCAGCAACCCCACCTGGAGCCTGACTCTCTAAATCTTGACCCTGGATCCCGTCTGAGGGATTGGGGACCCCAAGTATCAAGGTCTGGAGCTCCTGTGGCTGTGGAACTCAGCTGAGACCCTGCAGACAGATCCTCTCCTGAGGCGTCAGGAGTCAGGGAAGGCATGACCTGGCGCCCCCTCCAGAGCCCTGACCCCTGACCCCTGTGGCTCCCTGGGGTGCTTCCAGCTCAGGTAAGTCACCCCCAAGACCCCTGTGGTGGGGAGGGACTTGGGGAGAACTTGGTGGCTGGGTGGAAGAAGATAAGACTCATTCCCCATGGGTACCACTGGGGTTTCCCCAGGAAACGGACACCTCGCCCAGGATTTGCTCCCAGCTCGCTCTGGACCTGTCAGTCCTGCCCCTCTCCCCGCTTGGTGGCCTCTGGGTCCCTGTCCCCCATTTCTGTCTGGTTGGACCCTCGCTGGCGGCCTCTTGCTTCCCCTCATGACCCCTCTCTGTGCCCCTGTCCTTGCCCTGACCCTCCTTGACACCCTGTCCACCTCCCCTGGCTCTGTCCACTGCTGGCTGCCTCTCTCAGCCACCATGTGTGTCCATCCTCTCTCTTTGATCATCCGTCACACCCCTGTCCCTAGCTACCCTCTCTGGACATCTGCCTTCAGCTTCTCCCAGTGACCACCCTGGGCACCACTGTCCACTGTGCCTATCCCCAGCATGTCCCCAGATCTGTCCCTCACAGCCCCTGTCTCAAAGTCGGGGCCTGGGTCTCCGACCCTCTTGGGCATTGCCACGGCCCCCACTCTTCTCTCCGTCCACTTGCTCCCCCTCTCCTCTGTCCACCCTCACTGCCCATCTGTGATTCCCCAGCCGCCTCCTGTCTGGATCAGCACGTTTCCTCTCAGTGTCGTGGCCACTGGTGCTTTCTGGTCACTGACATCTCCTGGGCCTGTCCCCAACTCCTTAGCCCGCTCTTTCCCCACAGGGCCCGCCTGCTCCTCCCCTCACTGGCCTTAGCCCCTTTTCATCGTCTTTGACCATCTCTCCTGGATCGGACCGTCCCTGACACCTCCCCTTCCCCTCCCCTCTCACTGGCTACTTCTCATGTTGTCCGTCTGCAGTTGCCTCTGTCACACCTGCTTTGGGTCCTGCCCGCCACCCTGCCCACCTCTGCCCTCTGTGACATATGCTCCCCTGCCTGGGACTATTTCTAGGGACCCCAGGCTTCGCTTCCACCCACCCTCATTCACCTTTGCTCTGGGGCCACCTCTGCCCATTCTGCTGGCCTCTCTTCCCTCTGCCCTCCCGTTCCTTTCTGCACCCGGGGTGCTACCACCATGTATCTGCCCCTGACTTCCACTCTGGCTTTTTTTTTTTTTTTGCTTTTTGGGTCAGACCCAGCGATGCACAGGGGTTACACCTGGTTCATGCACTCAGGAATTACTCCTGGCCGTGCTTGGGGGACCATATGGGATGCTGGGAATCAAACTCGGGTCGGGCCGTGTGCAAGGCAAACGCCCTACCCGTTCTGCTATCACTCCAGCCCCTCTGGCTTTTGATTTCACCCGTCCCTCCTCTGTTGGACCAACTTGAGTCACTTCTGTCACCCTCCCCCACTCTCCTGGCTGGGGGCTCTACTTCTACCCCGCTCTGGGACCCTGGGACCCGGTCCTCTGGTGGCTCAGCCTGACCCTCGCCCCCGCAGGTGGCCCTGCCCGCGATGGCCGTCCTCCCCCTGCTCCTCTGCCTGCTGCCGCTGGCCCCTGCCTCATCTCCACCTCAGCCGGCCACTGCCAGCCCGTGCCCCCGCCGCTGCCGCTGCCAGACGCAGTCGCTGCCCCTCAGCGTGCTGTGCCCGGGTGCGGGCCTGCTCTTTGTGCCCCCCTCGCTGGATCGCCGAGCGGCCGAGCTGCGCCTGGCCGACAACTTCATCGCAGCCGTGCGGCGCCGCGACCTGGCCAACATGACGGGCCTGCTGCACCTGAGCCTGTCCCGTAACACCATCCGCCACGTGGCCGCCGGCGCCTTTGCCGACCTGCGCGCCCTGCGCGCCCTGCACCTGGATGGCAACCGGCTGACCTCGCTGGGCGAGGGGCAGCTGCGTGGCCTGGTCAACCTGCGCCACCTCATTCTGAGCAACAACCAGCTGGCGGCACTGGCGGCCGGCGCGCTGGACGACTGTGCTGAGACACTGGAAGACCTGGACCTGTCCTACAACAACCTGGAACAGCTGCCCTGGGAGGCGCTGGGCCGCCTGGGCAACGTCAACACGCTGGGCCTCGACCACAACCTGCTGGCCTCCGTGCCTGCGGGCGCCTTCTCACGCCTGCACAAGCTGGCCCGGCTGGACATGACCTCCAACCGCCTGACCACCATCCCCCCTGACCCCCTCTTCTCCCGGCTGCCACTGCTGGCCAGGCCCCGTGGATCGCCGGCCTCTGCCCTGGTGCTGGCCTTCGGGGGCAACCCCCTGCACTGCAACTGTGAGCTGGTGTGGCTGCGGCGGCTGGCCCGGGAGGACGATTTGGAGGCGTGCGCCTCCCCGCCTGCCCTGGGCGGCCGCTACTTCTGGGCGGTGGGTGAGGAGGAGTTTGTGTGCGAGCCGCCCGTGGTCACTCATCGCTCGCCGCCCCTGGCGGTGCCGGCGGGCCGGCCGGCCGCCCTGCGCTGCCGGGCCGTGGGGGACCCGGAACCCCGCGTGCGCTGGGTGTCCCCGCAGGGCCGGCTGCTGGGCAACTCGAGCCGAGCTCGCGCCTTCCCCAACGGGACGCTGGAGCTGCTGGCCACGGAGCCGGGCGACGGCGGCATCTTCACCTGCATCGCGGCCAATGCGGCTGGTGAGGCCACGGCGGCCGTGGAGTTGACTGTGGGGCCCCCGCCACCCCCCCAGCTTGCCAACAGCACCAGCTGTGACCCCCCGCGGGACGGGGATCTCGATACTCTCACCCCTCCCTCTGCCGCCTCGGCCTCCGCCTCCGCCTCCGCCAAGGTGGCTGACATGGGCCCCCCAAGCGACCGTGGCGTCCAGGTGACTGAGCACGGGGCCACGGCGGCCCTCGTCCAGTGGCCAGACCAGAGGCCCATCCCAGGCATCCGCATGTACCAGATCCAGTACAACAGCTCTGCCGACGACATCCTCGTCTACAGGTGCCCAGCCTGGGCAGCAGGGCCGAGGGAGGTGGGGAGGGGGGAGGCGGCACATCGGGGGTGCGTCTTCGCTTCCAGGGGGGACCCAGGGGCCGATCCCTAGGCTGCAGCCCAGCTGAGAAATGAGGCTGCAGAGTTGCAAAGGGAATCAGACAGCAGAGATCAAAGAAACGAGGCAGAGAGGGTCAAAGAAATCTGGCAGCAGAGGGGTGAAAAAAAGAACGAAGAGGAAAGGATAGCCCGGCGAACAGACACCTGAGGGAGGGACAAGGTTAGGGCTACAAGTGATACAGAGTGATAATACAGCAGTAGGGAGCTTGCCTTGCACCTAGCCCAGCATCCCACATGGTCCCCTGAGCTCACTAGGAGTAATTCCTGAGTGCAGAGCCAGGAGTCAGCCCTGAGCACTGCCCAGCATGGCCCAAAAACCAAAGAAAGAAACTCCCTGCAGAGACCTCAGTGAGGAGGGTGGGAGGTGGGAAGTTCCAGCTCAGGCCTTGGGTATGCGCAGTTGTGGACTTTGCACAAGCTCTATGGGTTCAAGTTCTTTTTTTTTGTTTGTTTGTTTGTTTTTTGGTTTTGGGGAGTGTGGGGGGTCACACCTCTTGGTCCTCAAGGATCATTCCTGGCCCTGCCTGGCTCTGTCTAGGATCAAGCCTGGTTCTGCCCTTTGGAAGGCGGCAAGTACCCTACCCACTGTACTGTCTCTCCAGCCTGTTTTTGAATTCTACTGTGGAGACATTTTAACTTCTATTTTCTAAATCAGATCAAACCAAGTTAAAGCTCCTCCTGCTAGTGGAATAGAAATATTCAGTTTGCCCCTGGGGGAATTCCCTTCTTGCTACAGCCACGTATGCTCAGCAACAGTGGCCCCGATGAGGGTATCACAGCAGCGGCTTAGCCAAATCCAGTCTTTTTTTTGTGGGGGCACACCCGGCAGTGCTCAGGGATTAGTCCTGGTGGGGCAAAGGGGCTGTATGTGGTTTGTATGAGGCCGGGATGTAACCTGGGTCGGTCAGCCTTATGCAAGGTAAGCGTCCTACCACCTCCCAAGTCCAGTCTTGCCTGGGCCTGTGTCACTGTAGCCCACTCTATATTTGCTTCCAGGGGGGACCCAGGGGCCGATCCATGAGGTCTGGCTGCAGAAAACCCAGCCTCTCGAGGCTGGAGGCAGCAAACCCGCAACCCACGTGCCCTTTCACAAGGGAGCATCTTTGATTTCCTTTTTCCATCCTGTAAATGCACCAAGCTCTCTTGCTCTTCCTTTCTTAGACCACTGTCCACTCTGCTGGGCAGAGGATGTGACAAATCTCATCCTTCCAGATAGTCATGAAAACCAGATAGTTTACGTTCCTCATTAAAGTAACTTAGGGCCTGGAGCGACAGTACAGCAGGTAGGGCACTTGCCTTACACATGACCAGCCTGGGTTCAATTCCTGGCACCCCATATGGTCCCCTGAGCACCACAGGAGTGAGACCTGAACACGAGCAGGTGTGTCCTCTCCCCCCCCCCCAAAAAAAGCAGTTTAGTAATAAAACATTATAGACCAAGTGACATCTCCAGCAGGATCTAAGCCATAAAAAGACAAATAGAGGAAGAGGGCCTGGAGACAGCTCATGGGGCTGAGCTCATGCTTTGCTCTCAGGAAGCTGGGGTTTAATCCCTGTACCGCATGGTCAGCCCCCAAGCACCTCTGGGTGTCACCTAAAAAAACAAAATAGTGGAATGGAGTATTCAGGATAAAGAAAATAAAAAGGGCACGGATAAACAAGAAATCGGGCAGCAGAGATAAAAGGTTAATTAGGAACCAGAGCTGAAAGAAAAAGAAGGCAGCATGGAGGAAAAGATGGGCAGTGGAGACGAAGGCCCATCTGCTTAATGAAAGCAGAATCAGTTGACAGAGCTCGCTCGAAAGCAGGCCCAAGACCTAGCAGTAATAACACGGCGATGGGGCTAGGGGGACTTTTATTGGCAGGTTAGAAGGAAATCAGGCATCAGCGGTATTGGCAAAGCAGGCCCCGAGGGGAGAGAGGATTCTAGCTGTTCAGAAGAGGGGAGAGGGGGGATTGGGTGGGGGTCTAGAGGGTGACCAGGGGTGGGATTGGACCTGGGGCTAGAGGAAAGGGCCTTGGGGTGAAACAGGCAGGTGGGGAGCTGGAGTCCTGTCGGGAAGCAGAGTTGAGAGGGGAAGGGACCCCCCCCCCCCCCCCCGCACAGCGGGTGAAAGGGAGCAGGGTGGGGCCAGAGAGAGATGGGCAGGAAGGCCAGTGGGAGACTGGATGGGAGGGAATGGGGGTGGTGCTGGGCGTATTCTGAGAAATCACCTGGGCACTGTGGGGTGGGCTACAGGGATATGGGCCAGTAGACTGGGCGGGGAATGGGCTGCGTAGCCGATGGGCAGGCAGTGGCCCGTGGTGGAGAGCGAGCCGGTGGGCCGGAACAAGATTGGCAGCAGCCTGGAGCGGGTCGCTGTGGGGCGGATTAGAGAGATGCGGGGCTGGAGAGAATTGAAGGGGGTGTAGGGAAGCGGGACCCGTACACAGCCCCGTGGGTTTGGGTGAGGGCACAGCGCAGGGCCGGGGCTGGCCGCCAGACCTAAGTCGTGCCTGTCCCTCCAGGATGATCCCTGCTGACAGCCGCTCGTTCCTGCTGACCGACCTGGCATCGGGACGCACCTACGATCTGTGTGTACTCGCCGTGTACGAGGATGGAGCCACGGGACTGACGGCCACCCGACCTGTGGGCTGTGCCCGCTTCTCCACGGAGCCGGCGCTGCGGCCCTGTGGGGCCCCTCACGCACCCTTCCTGGGCGGCACCATGATCATTGCACTGGGCGGCGTCATCGTGGCCTCGGTGCTGGTCTTCATCTTCGTGCTGCTGATGCGCTACAAGGTGCACGGCAGCCAGCCCCCTGGGAAGGCCAAGGGTGCCGCCCCGGTCAGCAGCGTCTGCTCCCAGACCAACGGTGCCCTGGGCCCCACGCCCGCCCCACCCGCCCCGGAGCCTACCGGGCCCCGGGGCCACACCGTGGTCCAGCTGGACTGTGAGCCCTGGGGGCCCAGCCACGAACCCACGGGACCCTAGCGACGCACTCACCTCTCTGGCCAGTCTGGCCCCGGAGTGGCGGGGCCCAGGCACCCCGTCAGACCTGGCCTCAGACTTACCAAATTGCTCCTGGTTTTTAAAAACTCTGATGGGGAGGGTGTCGGGGCACCGGGCACAACAAGAAAGTCCTATTTTTCTAAGCTTGGGCCTGGGCCCTGGCCCTTGTCTCTGTGTGTGGGCTGGGGTGGGGGTTTTGTGCCGGGGGCGGGGAGGGAGTTGCTGGAGCTGGGCAATGCCTCCTCTGGGCTCTAAGACAGGCCTTCCTCCCCTCTTTCTGTGGTCCCTTGGATGAGCCTGAGGATGGCTCTGCTTTCAACAGACCTTCCTGGAGGACCCCTCTGGGTGTTACGGAGGTGACCCAGAAGGCCCAACCCTGTCCTTGGGGAAGGGGCGTCTAAAATCGAGGCACTTCCCAGACCAGAGTGACCAGAAATATGATAAGGGATGCCTCTAGGATGGTGGGAGTCTGGGAGATGTGGATGACTCAGTCTAGAGTGTGGTCAGGGAGGGCTTCCAGGAGGAGGGGGTGTCGTTCCCAGAATGATATCAGGGACGCTAGTTAGGCAGGATGCACAGAGGAATCTGCTCCCTGCAGAGGTCAGAGCACAGTGAGGAGTTACTTTCTGCCTGGTCCCGGGGGTTCTGAGAGGAACGGGGTCCAGGGGCTTCCACCCAGTTGCTCAATCACTGATCCTATTGGGAGACAGGGAGTACTCTGCTATAGGGGAGTGGGGGGCACAGTTAGGTTTGGGCTTTAGAGTGGTCCAACTCACCCCTGGAAAGAGTGGGGAAGCAGTGGGGGTGCATCAAAGCAGCATGGGTGGAGGCTGAGGCCTGGGATGGGACCATGGTCCGGGGGAGAGGATGTAGCGGGGGTGAGGGGGGCTGGCTGGGGGAGAGGTGAAGGCTGGTACACAAATGGGGGGCAGAGGCCATGAGGTGGGGAGACAGTCTCAGACAGGCTGCGGCTTAGCGGAGGCCAGAGCGGAGCAAGCGCCACCCGGGGAGGGGACATGTGTGCCTGAGGGTGGCCCGTGGCCGGGGTTGGCGGATGGGCCACACTGCAGAACCTTGACCCTCTCTGCGCTAGCCCCCTCCCACATGGGGCGGGGGCAGGGGGCAGTGTCTGAACACCGAAGCCCATCGGGCCTCCGGAACAGGCTCAGCATGAGAGGAAAAGGTCTCCCGGCCTCACGCCACCCCTCCTGGGTGGGTCCCCGGTCACTGTCTTCCCTGGGGTGACACTGGTGTGAGAATCATGGTGGCCGGACAGACTCATGTTCTCCTGACCCAGCTCCTCCCGGGACAGCACCCAGTACAGCTTCCTAGGTGGGACAGGCCTCAGGAAGGCCATCAGCCCGGGGAACACCCCCAGCCTCAGCGACCAGCTGGCATGTTGGTGGAGGTTCCCATCAAGTGGCTGAAGTCGGGAGAAGCCTTGAGGGGAGCCAGGTGCCCCCCAGGTGTGTGGGTGTAGGTGATATGCCCAGTCACCACCAGGAGGGGGAGCCAGAGTGCACCAAGCCTTAGACCTCCCTTTGGCATTAGGCCTGCTTGCAGGCCCACTGTGTGCCTGCCCAGTGCTGGAGACCTGAGAGGCACCACACCAGCGCAGGCTTCCCTCTCAGACTTTCCCTCATGGCGGGGATGCAAATATTGGATGGGCAACAGACACAGTGTGTGGAGCCCCTGTGGCAAGAAGAGGCCCGGTCCTGGCACAAGGTACACCTGGAGACAGTTCAGGGTACCTGGCCTAGGAAGAGGGGCTGACAGGGGAACTTCCTGGAGGAAGAGACATCTCACCTGAGCCCTGAAGGCACTCAGGTGGAGACTGTGCAAATGGAGCAGCGAGCCAGTGAACAGAAGTTCGAGGCTAGCTGCAGGCCAGGGGCAAGTGGGGGGCAGGACGGGAAGCGAAGCTGTGTGCAAGCTGGAGAACCGGAAGCGGGCAGATGCCTGAAGGCCGCTGGGCCGAGTGGGAATTTTCATTCAGAGGCATGAGAAGCCAGGGTGGGAGGGGGGGACTTTGAATAGTGAGAAGAGGAGAGAGACTCCAGAGCACTGCTAGTGTAGCCTCCCCTCCAGCAAAAGTTACAATGCTCCTCTCTGCCCAGCTGAACCCACCAATTTCCTCTGAGCTCAGAGGGTGCTGCTTCTGCCATCCAGCTTCTAGGGCTTTGAGAATGCCCTGCACTTTTGGGGGTGGGGAAGGTGCCCAGGAGCTACTCCTGGCTGTGTGCTCAGCAATGACCCCAGACAGGGCTCAAGGGACCAGATATAGTGCTGGGGATCGAACCCAAGTCAGATGCACACGAGGCAGTTTCAGTGCTCCCATCAGGCTGGTCTAAAAATAAAATCCATGCAGGGGAGGTTTCTGGAGCATCTTCTGGGAGCAACTGGAGTCCCATTGCTAGGACTCTACTCTGGACACCTGCTATCAGATCCAGCCCACATACCTGGGCCTACCTGTGCTGGCTGGCAAGGCCTTGGGAAAGGCAAGCTACCCTGTCCCCAGGTACATGGGATAAAGGGCTCCTCCCAGAGGGGATGTCTCAGTTCTGGGTTGAACCCACAGAAGCCAGGACGTCTCCGTGCTCGGGACAGCCATGGCCCCTGGGCAGTGCTGGGAACACGATCCTGGGCCTCAGAGCCCACCCGCCCGCCTGGTGTTCCATCCACACTTAGCAAATCACGGGCGTGAACTGCGTTCAGGGAGGTCTCCGCTGGACTGGGCAAGGCGCCGGCAGGGATGGTGAAGCTAGGTTCTGCAGAAGCCCCAGAGACTTTGGGAGTGCAGAAGGGGCTAGGGTGGGCAGTGGGGGAGTCGCAGAGCTCCCGAAGGCCCATTAGACTGGACCTGTCCTTCGGGTGAGCACAATAGTCACAGCAGGCAGCACCTGCCTCACACACAACTGGCCTGGGTCCAATCCTCAGCACCCTATGTGGTCCCTGGAGCCTAGCAGAAGTGATCCCTGAGTACAGAGCCAGGTGTAAGCCATGAGCACTGCTGGGTGTGACCTGAAAAAAACAACCAAAACTAAACGAATCCAGGTTGGATGGTGCAGGGCAAACGCCTTACCTTCTATACTATCTCTCTGGGCCCGGTTTCATTTTCTTTTTTTGGGGGGGGTGGGGGGTGGATGAGGGGAGGGCCACTCCTAGTGGTGCTTGGGGGCTACTTCCGGTTCTCTGCTCAGGGGCTGTTCCTGTTGGTGCTCGCAAGACCGTGTGATACCGGGGCTTGGACCGGGGTCGACGGTCAACTATGCAAGGCAAGTGCCTTAACCCCTGTCTCACATTCCGGTCCCAAGCTTCATTTTCAGTGGAATATTTTTACTCTGGGCGGGAAGGGGTGGCACAGGGTAGATTAAATGGTAAGCGACCGAGAATCCGTTTTATACGAGCGCTCACATGGCCAGACTGCTGGAGCCAATGTGGGAACTGACAAGGATTCCGCCGCCGATAAAGCATGAGACTTCAAATGATTTTATTCTGGGCATTTTCTGGCTTCAACTCCGTGGCACCCCTGGGGTACACTTCACTCACACATCTGCGTCAGTCCTCTGATGAACGGGCTGTTGCTGGGAACTTCCTCACCGTCCTGAATGCGTGGCCCCAGGGCTCCCAACTGACCCCCTTCCTGCCTCCACACTCACCTCCTGCTCCTGGTGGCTCCCTGGCCCTGCTCTGCTCACCAGCTGCAGTCTGAACCCTGGCCTCGCTTCTCTCCGTTACTGAGTCACCCGCTGCCTCAGTTTCTCCCCCATCTTGTCCCTCTTCCTGGGTCTTGTCCCAGGCACCCCCACCCCACCTACCCTCACAGTGAGAGCCAGGGGAGGAGGCCCTAGTGGTCCTGTTCCAGCTCTAGCCTCACCCACCTGAGTCCCTCCTGAGTGTTGGGCTTGGTCTGACCCAGCCCATGGAGTGTTCCTAAACTGTAAGGCCTGTCCTGGTCCTCCTTTGTTAGTGCCCTTTGGGGTTCCTCAGAGTCTCGACAGGCTTTGCCCCCCAATCCCCAACGCCAGCACCAGCACTCGGGCTCCCCACCTCAGACCAAGCGGAACTAAGTGCTCCCAGCAGACCAGGCCCTTGGCCTCCCATCCCCCTCCACTGCCCTCTGTGGGGGAGTCTGGTTAAGCTTCTGCCTGTGAGGAAGAGCAGGTGAGAAAGGAAGTTACTGGAAGAAATTCCCTCTGGATTCTCTGCCCATACTCCCTCCCTGACAAAGACAAGGAGGAGAAGGGGGCTGGTGGCAGAGGCTCCTAGACCCAGGAGAGAAAGAGCCGGAGTCACTGCCAAGTCCCTAGCCTGGCCCTGTGAAGAGGCCCCAGCCGTGCCTCCTGCCAGAGGCTCCAGGAGCTGAGGTGGGTGCCATGCTATTGTTCTCCAGCTCAGGACGTTCTGCCAGCCTGGGAGTGACACGAAGCCATTGTTCATCCTGGGGGAGTTCTGCAACATCCGGCACACGGCGTCCTCACCAGCCAGCCTGGGCTCCCATGACTTTCATGTCCCAGGAATCCAGCCCCCCAGGCCCCTTGTCTTCAGACTCCTGCCCCCACCTCCCCGGCCCGAAATATTCCCTCCTACAACCTCCTCGAAGGCCCCGTGGGGTCCCGCCCCTCTTTCCACAGGCACTGGGTGTTCTTAGCTTGACCTCCTTGGGTCCTCTCATTCAAAACTTTCATCTCCTCATTGCACCCCTCACCCATCCCTCACTCTCAAAGAGAAGAATAGCTTGGGTCCCTTTTGATCTTTCTGCCCTTCCCCAAACCCCTCTCCCCCCACCCCTTTCCTATTCCCCCACCTGGGCCTCTTACCACACACTCTCTTCATCCCCCAGGGGTTCTGCGGTTCCTCTCCCTCCTTTTGGGTCTCAGTGCTCAGCTCTCTCCCTCTGCCCTCCCTGCCCTCCCCCTCTGTACACACACTCACACACACACACACACACACACACACACACACACACTCAGGCTTCATTATGCTCAATGGCAGCTGGTCAGGCTGGAGCCGATCCATGTGCTGGCCAGGGAGGGGGCTGAGGGCCTGGCACAGGGACTATAAATGCACCACTGGGGCCTGCTCTCTGCCCAGCTCCTGGCAGGTGAGACAAGACTGGCCAGCCTAGCCTTCTGCCCTGGCCTCTGAGACCCCACCCTG